GAAGTGGAGAACAGTCTGAAATAGTAATTAAATGTCCTGTATTTCCTTCATGCTCAAAATTTCAGTCTTCATTTGCAGCGTAGAAGTTGCTGTGTATATCATCTGTTATATCGCTTCCTTTCTGAGAGAAAAACCATGCAGTGTTTTAAGGAGACAGGCTGTGTCTTGAAGCGCTTTGAACCTTGACTTAAGTCCGTCTGTGAGTGACAGGGTTGCTGTATGGCTGCTGATTTCCACAGTGTTCCTTGAATTTGAAAAAGAATCTGTCAACCATACGATGCAAACACTGTTCTAAAGGCTGTGCAGCCTTTGGGGTTATTGGTAGGCTTGTTTCTCAATTACGCTTTGGTCTTCATTTCAGTCTTTCATATTTCTGGAATTTTAACTTAAAGATACTTCAGTAAATTAAAAGAAGATAAAGCCTTTGAAGATGGACAAAATACATATTTTATTGTACAAACCTGTGCTTATGTATGAAAGAAATGGAGTGCAATGATCCTTTTTCCATGTTTGCATATAGTTGATACTACAAAGTTATTTGAAAGAGCACCATGCTGTAAGCATGGAGAATGCTCTATTAGCATCACCTTGGGGAAACTGAATGGTTGTGATTGTGAAATTAAACGAGGGAACAGGGGTGTCTCAACTTCAAGTTCTGTTTCTCTTTCATCCTGAAAATGATATATATATATTTTAAATTTTGTGCTCATGTACGTTTTGTGCTTTGTCCTATTTTTAAATAACTCTTAATATATTCCACCAGAGGGCTGGGATTTGGGAGATCTTTTTTGTCAAACAAGTTAGTAGTATGTATTCCATTGTGTATCAGTTCCACTTTGTGCCAAGTTGGAATTATTTTTGACATTGAGAAGTGCGGTCATAAATGTTAGCTTTTCCTATAAATAAGATTTATGCTATCTTGTAAAAGTACCAACTGATGGAATTACAAATTCTGTTTTGACTTAAATTGCAGATTGATTTGGTGGTTACCGGTGTGTGACTTGTGATACTTAATTGAATTGACACTTGCTTTCCACTGAAAGGCTCATTGAGACATACTTTTGTAGACACTTCAAGTATCTCACCTTATTTGAAAGCATTGATTTGTAATGGGAAATAAAAATAGAGCGAATTGTTGACTTTGCTTGCTAAGAGCTAAATAGCAGCATCAGAAGGCCTGGGCTGTAGGTTGGCAGAAATTGCATAACATCAGGCTGAGACTGTGAGCTGGAGTTGTGCTCTCACACAGTGGCAGTGTGCATGTTGGCAAACCCTGTTGTCATTTCAGGAACTGGACGGAGGAGGTGCTGCCCAAACTCCTTAGGTGGTTTGTTTGTTGTTTTTTAAAATTTGTATTATTTCATATAGTTTTCAGCTCTTGGAATGATGAGGAGTTAAGTCAGCTGTAACTCAGTGATTGATCTTTTCTTCTCTGTACAAAATTAAAAGCATTCATTCTCCAGGGAGATGTTGCAGCGTCCTCCTAGTTTTGAGTTGCCAGTGTTGATGTGATGAGTGAGCTGAGCCATCCTTGGATGTTACCTACAGTAGTACTGCAAAGCAGCCACAGAATTAGTTTCATATCTTAAAACTAACTTATTTGCTTCAAGCTGTTAAACTAATGAAACATGCGATCATAGCATCACTTTATAAGTAATTGTAAAGATCTTTTTGCAGCTTAAGGCAGAGATTTTAGTAATTTCTACATTACGGGCAAATCCTGTGTCTTTGCATGACCCCTCTGTCACATTACAGAATTGTGCACAGGAATAGGATCTCTCATTCAGGGGCTTGCCAGCCACTTGCTGTCACCGACTTTGCTGGGAAGCAGGTAAACTGGCTGTTGGTGCTCTCAGAAGTATCTGCACTTAAGCAGTCTCTGGATGGAACTGCATCACCAGCCTTTAATCCCGCTCACTGGTCTTTGGTCTGGCTACGTAGTGGTTGTGTGCCTCAAGAACAACTGGCAGCCCTCTTAGCACAGGGAAACTGCTGAGACCCAGCAGCTGCCAATGGGACCTGCAGTGCCCACAGCACTTCCCTCAGGCTGCTGTGAAGATGTCAGTGCTCACAAAAAGGCAGAGGCCCTACCCAACCCTGGAAGAGCTTCACTGCAGTGCAGCTGGTTACTAGCTGCATGCAGGGTTCCTTCAGGCTTGCCCTGTCCCGGCTGCAGCTGCATCCTGATAACACTGCTCTGCTCCCTGTGTTTTGTCAGCCCTGTCTTTTTAGTCACCATGTAGAAATGTGGGTTGCCGATAAAAATATCAATATTTTATCCCTCTAATTATGAAAAGCTTTCTTCACTTCTTTCTAATAACCATACAGTTGTAAGGTTCCATATTAGTGTCGGTGCGTTTTGTCAGTCCTCTAGGCATAATCTTGATTAGTTTTTGGACTGCTTTCTCAAACAATTATCAGTGTAGAAAATAACCTCGTAGGCACTTTTAATTTGGAAGAAAGCATAAAAATATTTTCCAGCTTTTCATTGTATGGACTTCATTTTCTGGCACACCAGCGTCCTTGTATTAGCTTTAAAACTATTCCAAGACCCAATGCTCTGACCTTATCCCACTGCCTCAGAAGCCTTTATGGTGGCTGTGAATGTATGTAACCAACCATGTGTAAATGTCTACAGAAATGAGACCCAAAGCTTTGTGGGGTCAGAGACGGAACTGTTGTTTCCCACCTATATAGTTCCTGTACTGCAGCTCTGAATAACATATTATGTCTGTACCTTACAGTGTATGCTTCGTTGATTTGCTTTTGGTCACAAGTTTTATATTTTTATGGTAGTGTTGAGTATGCCTTAAAAAAAGAAAAAAGATAGCCTTCTAATACATCTTTTCATTAGAATTAGCAAAAAAAAAGTCATCTCTTATCCCAGGTATTGTTAAGAGTTCTGAAGAATCCTTAGGGACTTGTGAGGAACTGTGTTTTTACCTTTTCAAAAGCTGTGGTTGGCTGATAAGCTGAGCTGCTAGGGGATAGCTTCACCCAAACATTTCATTATCATTTTTGCAATGGTGAAAGCCAGCTACCCTTTTCTCCACACTTTATTCAGGCAGAGCAAAGGACAAGATAATCCCCTTAGCCTGTTAAATGCTCCATTCCATCTGGTAGGTGATAATTGCATTGTAAGGGGATTAGCACAGTGGGATATGCTTATAGTGTAATGAAAGCTTCACTACAAGTGTGAAAGTCAGCTGGATACGTTCAAGCAGTTTGGGACCCCACATTTGTGTTACATGGTCTTGCACAAAAAAGAGCAAGGTTCCTCTGGAGAAGACGCACAATACCTTTTGCCTTTCTGTACCTGTCATAGGTGGTTCATTTTTTGTAGACGTGGGCGATCTGGGTAACTGAATTTTTTTGCTGAGAAAAGCATAAACTTTTGTTTAGCTGAACGTCTGGGGCCATTTCTGTGATTATAGCCATAGTGTGTGCACACCCTAAGTGCTCCGCTTTTGCTCAGAAGTGCTGTGACTTTGAAACTGTGGAGATGGGTTCTTCGTAGTATGGGAGCGCTTGTGTTACCAAACACTGCATAGAAATCTTCATTGGTAAAGGTGAAATGTGAATAAAGCACACTATGAGGAATACCAGAGTAAATTTGTATCAGTGTGGATAATAGGGTTTTGAGCTGAAAGTAATTCCTCTTGTAGCCAACCAGCAGAAGTGTTTTGAAATTTGGTCAGTGTCAGTTCTGAGCCCAAGGTAGCATAAAAGGACGCTTTGCTTTTCTTTTGAAGTCTGATGCTTAGCTAGTGCTGTCAGTAGTGATGACAGTAAGTCTTCAAGCTCAGAGCATTTCATAAGCTGCAATTTCCCTTCCTTATCTTCAGGATGTTACAGATCCGTCTGAAGGTGTGCTGCAGTTCAGCTTTGATTGCTGAACTATTTGTTGCCCCCTCTCCAGTCTTCTGTTCCATACAAGGAACTAGGCTGGCTGTGCAGTGCTGGCCAGAGTGTGGTTCAAACATTAACCTGTTGGGTAGCCTGCTCTGTGTGGGCACAGTGTTTTGTAGCCAGACAGATTAGAAATTTGACAGCAGTGTGTGTTTTTACATAAATAAAATAAGTCAGGTGCATAAGTATGCACTGTATGTGGTAGATCCTGTAGTGACATTGTATGACCTTACTGTGGGAGGAAATTTGCTCATGAATTAGAGTTCTGTGAACAGCTGCATGGTTGCTCTTTCTTCAGTTTCAAGTTCCTGACTTAGTAGCTGTGTGTGTGCATGAGTGCCTCGGGGAGCTAAGGGCAAAATAAAGCCTTGTGTTTTCCTATGGATGCCTGCAATAACTTTGCCAGTCTTGATGTCACGATTGAGTGTGGTTAAGCTCAACCTGCTCTTACCTCATCATGGGTCTCGATGTGCAGGGTCAAGTAGAAAGTTGCTGGCTTTTTTTATTGTTGTTGTTTTTTTTCTCCAAACTTGCGATTTTGAGGCATGGTTTCCTTGTCTCCATATGTGTGTGTGTGTGTGTGTGTGTGTGTCTATATATATATATATATATATATACATATAATATATATATATATATACACATATAATATATATATATACATATAATATATATATGCATATAATTTTATTTATTTATTTATAAATAATATATATTTTACATTTGGTTGCATTCTAAGAAACATTCCTGTATTTTCTTTGAATTTAGTGTTTCTTCTGAGAAGGGTAAAACTAAGAAAATTACTTGTTGTCTGACATTCTGTAACTCTAAAACCTGAGTGAAAGGCACTGGGACATACTCTTTAAGCCAAACCATCTAATCTCTTCCCACCCTAGTCCCTTCTGAAATAAGTATTTCTGTCACTGAAAATCCTGGATGGATGAATAATTACACTGGCAATATCTATGTAAGATTTACAGAGGAATTTTCAGCTTTCTAGAATAACTTTTTAACAGTCCTATACGTGCGTGTATTTTAAAAGTATGATATTGAAGTGCGTAGCAAGCTTACGTATCATTTCTTTTCTTTAGGTGACAAACAGCATGTTTGGTGCTTCAAGGAAGAAGTTTGTAGAGGGGGTTGATGGTGACTACCATGATGAAAACATGTACTACAGCCAATCATCGATGTTCCCACATCGGTCAGAAAAAGATGTAAGTTGAATAAGCTTGTTTTCCCCCTTTAATAGTGAGGTAGTTTCAAGCATGTTAAATGTATGTAAGGAAAGGCTTCATCAAGCTTTTAAGCTGTGTATAGCTATTTTCAGTGCCAATTGTTTTAGTATTTATGCTCAGAAAAGTTCAATCATAGCCTTGCCAAGGCTTTATTTTTTTCATCTTTGAAAGCTGTATTTGTAACTTAAACTAGATCGTTGATTATATCTGGTAGTTACGTGTTGTCTAAATTGTTTTTCTTGTGCTTTCGCATTTTTCATCCTCAGTGGTCGTTTTTGACAGTGCCTTGCACAGCTTGTTTATCTGCTCAAGTAGTCTAAGTTAGGCATCACTCCCTTTTGTAATGGAAGAAAGATACAAAATCAACCATTTTTAAACATTTTTTCCTTTTGTAATGCATGTGGCTGTTTAATACCAGAGTGAGCCTGGTGTTATGGACTATGTAAACAGATATTTTCTGTAGGCTGTTTGTTAGTGAAATTCAATCAAAATTTTCAAGGATAAGAGGAAATAGGTTTAGTATCATGACTTAAGCAAAACCAAAAATGCTTGAACAATATGTTCCACTTCTGTTTAATTAAAATTGTTTTGATGAACTTGAGAAAGTTCAGGTGAGCTAGCAAACAATTAGAACACTTTACAATGGAAAAAAAAAGTAAAGGCTATTCTTTTCATGCTTGTCCATTACATACATGTACATACCACAGATGCACACAGGCACAGTGCAATATGTGTAACATTGGACATGCTTTCTCTTCTGTAAGTACCTAGAGGTGCAGGGAGCACTCTCAGACACTAGTGCTAACCAGACACCAACTGGTTCTCAGTTAGTAAATTCCCTCTACTACATTTGATACGTTTAGGGAGAAGCCATGTAAGATGTAGTCAGAAAGGTAAAGTGAGATGCTATGCTGCACAGTCTACAGTGAAAGCTGATGCTTGGCACATTGTTGACATAGAGTACGAGTGTTTTAGTTGCCTACTCTTTCTGTAGGCAATGTTGCAGAAGTGGATCTTAGGATGGGACTTCAAGAGAAGGAAGGTGGGTGTTCCAGTCACCAGGAATGACAAATGAGAAATCCTGAAAGCTTATGGGAGAAGTGGACAAAATGGGGAATAGAAGCAGCTGTAGTTGGCAGAGAAGAATGATGTGATACCAGCAGGAGATGGAAGAGTCATTTTTGCAAAAGCTTCTTAAAATTTTGTTTCCAAATAATTGCTAAGGGATTTTTTTCTGTGTAGCTTCGCTGTTGACAATTACAACTTCCTGAGTTCATGCTTATAAAGTCTTAAGCTATTACGTGCTTTTGTAACAACTTTTTTAAAAGGTGATCAAAATAAATATGTGGTGGTGATGCTGACATTGTCCTGGGCACCTTTGAGCACTTATGTATAGCTAAGTGTATTGTATGTATTGCATGTTGTTTTGTTGTTTCATGTGGCTCACAACAAATGAGAACGTCTGCAAAGATGGTTGTCTTTTGGTTTTCTTGTTGCTGTCCCACCAGTTTTGCAGCTTTGGAAAACCTTTTCCAATGAAAAATGACGGTGTATTTAAATTCTTTTTGGACTGAAATTGTATGAAAGATGATCTCTTCATGAGGACACAAAAAGTTTCTCAACTGCTTTTGTGTTTAGATAACACTTAGTACTGACAGACAAAAAGAAGTTTGCTCAGAATTTCCAGTGAGTAAGCTAATGAGGAATCACATTACAAAATTTGGATGCAGCATTAAGAACACCTGTGGGGAAAAACTTCCAGCTTCTTGATCCTGGAACGTTTTTCAGTCTTTCTTACTTGACACTTAGATGGAAATATAGTATGCAAATGTGGAGGAAAAACTAAGGCAGTGGACCTCTTGGGGAAAATAAGGCTACAATCACATCATCAGACAATTGGCAATAAAAAGTCTAAAACTTAGCATACATAATCTCTTTGTAACTGCAGTCCTTATTGAAAAGAAAAAATGTTACAATTTTAAATATTTTTTTATATAGTAGAATTGTCTATGTGTAATTTTATGCAATTTAAATCATTCTGTATTTCTTCATTTTCAGTTTCTTATGTCTTTACTGAGAGTAGGTAAAGCTTAGTTTAACACATGGCAGGTTTTAGCTACAAGTCTGCAAAAAAAAAATCTGTTTTCCTCTAATGTACCATCTATGCATATGAACCCCTGGTCAGTCATATGCTTCAGTTGTCCTGTAAAGTTCTTCAAGTTACTGCAAGCATAATATTTTGCATAAAGTTTTCATAAGCCAGGAACCCTCCTGTGAAGAGGCATCATTTTCCAGTCAGATACAGTGATGTCACATACACAATTTTACTGGGTTGAGAGTTTTTTCAGGAGCTCTTTGTAGCTTGTTTTAAAACTTAAATTAGAGATTTTAATTCTTTTTTTTATCATGTTAAGAAATAGTTCTTCATTTACTAGAGTTGAAAAAGCATCTAGAAGCTATCTGAAAAAGATGGGGGGTGAGGGGGAAAGCATTGTATGCCTTCTCATAAACAATTTTCATGGCACTTACTGACTTGCTATTCTTGTGACTTGTTTCTTTGGCTAATTAGAATTTTGAATTCTTTCTTTTTATTTTAACCTGAAGATAAAGTGAACTGAGTAAAGGCTCTTGAAGTCATATCTTAAGACTTGAAGACTTTTGACAAGAGAGAACAAGTAGCAGCAAAGAATTTAGGAGATATTTTTATTTCGTTTTAGCTGAAAGCAAAAAGCTTTCTCATAACTTGCCTTTTTTTCACTGGGGGACATAATTCCAGACACTCAGGATTTGCATGCTATTTGAAATGAAAAATTTGCATGCTATCCACACAGCTACTTCTAAAACATCTGAGTGTTGCATGGGTCTGTTTTGGGGGGCATAAAACAGTCATTCCTTTGATTTTTATTCCAGCAATCTAGTGCTCATTCTTTCAATGGGTGGTTTTGCTGTGAGTCATCACAACCTTGCTGTGATAAGTAGGGAAGTGGAACACAGAATATCCATGAATGCTCTTTCTACGAATTCTGCTGCATTCAGTGTGTGATAACCAGGTCAAAAATGCTTTACTGAATAATTTGTATTAGACTGGTTGAAATTACAACAGTTTTTAAAGATAGTTTTAGTTTTGGCGTAAAGCAAATGTGTTTCTGTAACTTGAATTGGCAGTAAGGTGCATGCTGTGATCACAAAACAATTACAGATCTTATTTGTGGCTAATGTTACTAACCTGATTGATCTGCCTCTCCACTCAGTGAGATCACTTTAAGGATAAGGGTCCATCTGTTTGTGCTTGGGTGGACTGACTGGCAGAAATTGGCAACTCACGGGCTTCGTATACTTTTGAACCTAATTTCCTCAAATGAAGGGAAATAATGGCAATAAACTTCAGATCACTTCAGTTTGAACTTTCCGTAAGGAAAAGAAAAGCAAACAAAAAACCAAAACAAGTGACATCCTTTTACCTGCTAAAACTTGTAATAGGCTTTTCTTCGACTAGTTTGTCCTGTCATATCTGAAGCCATTTTATCACCCACCTCTTCCTGTGGTAAGGAGTTCCAAAATAGATGTATGTTTCTTTTTTAAAGTGTTGACTTCTGCTGTCAGCTGCAGGCACAAATTTGGTTGTACACAGCTGTGCCTTTTAATGAAGATCTGCCCAAACTGTGACAAAAGTTTTTTTTTGCTGTGAATGCTGTTTGCATTTCTTAGCCCAGTACTTGGGGGTTTTTTGGCCTACTTGCTCAGCAGATGATAAAGAGTTCAAGTGATGTGCATTTCCAGTGGGTTAGTTTGCTGGGCTTAACTCTTTTCTTAAAAACAAACAAACAAAAATCCTTAATGTCTTAACTGATTCTGGGCTTTCTCATTTGAGACATGAAGCTCTTATACATTTCAGTTCTTTCAAAATGTGGCTTCTTGTGAAATCAAATTAATTTTAATAATGTGAACAAGTAACATCAAACCTGCAGATTACGTTTGGCTCATTGCAGCTCTTAATCTGGCTGCATGACAATACCTTTCCTAAGGAAAGAAGCTTTCAGATTTGGATACTGAGTACAGTGAGATGGGTTATTGGTTCTGGGAGGGCACTTTACAGAGGACCCTTCCCTTCTTACATGGCAGAGATGTGTCCACAGTGGATTAAATTCAGGTATTCTTCTCTCATGAGATAGTTGCAGGCTCAGTTGCATGAGGGGAAAGGTTGGCATCTTTGTCTTGTAATGACCAGGATGATGTATTACAAAGGAGTGGTCAAAAGCGTTTTATCACAGCCTTTTCCTGCAAACTTCCATTAAAGTAATTTGTAAAAATAGTAATTATTATATCTATATTATATCTATATCTATACATAAATATAGCCTTATAAATGGGTGAGACTTTTACAATAGATAAAAACTCATGAAGCAAGATTGAGATTACCATGGAGACTGAGATCTGGAATCTTGCTAGGTTTGGGAAACTAAATGTGGAAAGGAATCATTCTTCTGGAGACAGCTGTACTTTATGATTGCTACTGCATTGTTCCAGCTTGGCTAAGGACTTTCTTACACTATTCTTTAGGGTTCTAAGGATGTCTTGTTTCCCAAGGCATGTTGCTTGACATTTGCCTTAGTCACTGAATGAGAATCTGTTGGGTTAGTTGGTCATAATTTAAATTCGGATGATTCACTTAAAGTTGTTGTAAGTATTTAAGAATTCCTATTTGTATCCTTTTGTATCAGGAAGAGCAGCAGAAGCACTGGAGCTAATGCTGACTGGTCTAATAAAGCTAACATATTAAGATAACTTTCATAATATGAATAGCTTTGATTTGTGAAGCGGAAAAAATGAAAGCTTATTTAGGAGAAAATAATTAAATATCTTTTATTTTAAATGGAAAACAAGTATTATTGTAAACATTAACAGTATACATATGATCATACTTGAGAATTTGACTGAATAATTGGTTTGTTTGCTGTGCTTGCTTTGTGAAATATATT